ATTTTCTCGCAATATAGAGAGATAGAGAGTTGTGTTTGTCCTCAGATTGGACCAACACGACAGTAGTACTACTCTTCAGTACGTACCGGGCGCGGGCCCACAATGCGACAAAACCGAAACACGACGAAAACGGGCGCGGGGCGGGGGCGGGGGGGGGCGCCGGGCGGGAGCGGCTATATATAATATAGTCGCCGACCACACCCACACAGAAGCCTGCACAAAGACCGCAGGGCGGGGACTTGCTCCTTTTTACCCATCTTCCAGTAGAGCGAGGTGTGGTCCGTGTTATTTATTTACTTAGGCTATACCTGAAGATAGTAGTGTAGGGATGTGCGATGCTGGCATATCGTACCCTTCGCACAGATCACAGCCGTGCGCTATCGCTTCCCGTACAGCTTGATGTCCATCACGAGGTCGGGCTGGTATGGCCGGTTCGCGTTGCAGTAGATGTTTTTGAAGCGCTGGAACGCGCCCTCACCCATGTCGCCCGGCCGCACCTCCCGCGGAGGGATGGGCCCAAAGCCGCCGCCGCACTCTTGGTACTGCAGCCCCGGCAGCGGGCGAGCGAGTCCCTCGTACGCGAGAGAGGAGGGGATGATGGCGCGCCGGACGCCGCCTGGCAACATCGGCGGCACGCCGCCGCCGCCCGCGACCGCCTGCTCGAGGCCCGGGATGGTCGAGCCGTCGCCAAGCGCCCACGCATACGGCTGCTGCCTCTCGGCTGTCGAATCGATCTTGGCGCCGTACCTCGCACCCGTCGTAGACATGACGTAATCGATCACGACGCGGCACGGCGCCTGCGGCGCCGCGCCGCTGCCGACCTTTGCGTCCGCCCACTGCAGACCATTCGACGACGTGGAGAACTCGAGCGCCGGCGTTGCCGCCACCGCCGCTGGAGTTGGCCGCATCGCAGGGCGGGCCGCGAGAGATGCCGCGAGCAGAAGCCGGCGGCCGAAGACCGACGCGGCGTGCATGTGAGATCAGTGAAGCCAGTCGGTCACACCGTACACAGAGAGCGGATCCGCAAATCGTGGGAACTACTCACGGAGGCAGAGGATACTCCTGCCAAATACAAAGACTTGGAGGCAGGCCATGCTCCCTACCATCACGGGAGGCTCCGGCGTCGACACGGGCGTCACATCAGTCGGCGTGCCCAACGACACGGGTGGGGGCCGCACGGGCGTGCGCGGCCCCGCCGAGGCCTACTAACTACATCTCCCTCCTCAAATGCTGGTCAAAGCTTGTGGCCTGCAGCCCGGACCTCGCCGAAGCCGAGCGCTCCGGCGGGTACGGTGCACGAGACGCCGCCGTCAACTCGTACAGAGCCGCGCTCTCGAGGCGAGACGAGGTGGCCTCCATCCGAGCCGCGCGCGACGACAACATCTACTACACCTTGCGCGGCGGCAAGATCTCTGAGTTCTACCCCAAGGGCGTCAGCCTCCCCACTTCTGAGTCTCTTCCAACACCGGAGTCAGTCATCGATGGCACTTGCAAATCAGGAAGCCCGTACGCGCGGGCGCTTGCTGCCATCGAGACTATCTGGAACTGGTTCGATCTGCAGAAGGAGTGAGTGGCGCGCCCTCGACGACTACACGGCAGCCAACTGGCAGCCCGGCGACACCAAAATACGTCTACGCGAGTCCATCCGCTACGTCTCAACTGCACAGCCTTACGCGGGGCGGTGGCTCGACACAAAACTCGACGGCAGCAACGCCACATGCATTCCAGACGACATATTCATCGGCGAGCTTCAGCGCCGAAACGGCCTTCACCTCTCGCAGTGCCGCTCGACTGTCACGCGGGCACTCGAACTTGGGGACACAGTCGGTGGTGCAAAGGACTACCATGGCGACTGGTTCCTCAACAACGCCGCCCGGCGGCGCCCACACGACGGCGTACTTCGCGCCTGGTACGATTGTGTCCACGCCGTCTCCGTCTCCCGGCCCGTTATGGGAGATGCCGAAAAACCAGAACTCACCAAACAGTTCAACGAGGGCTACAAAACCGACCTGGCTGAACCGGGCGAGGCCCCCGGGGGCAAAGACGAGATCAGTGAGATCAAACTTTGGACCCCCCTCCGGGGTGGCTTGCCCGTTGGAGTCGGCCGCGCCGACACCGGAGGCAACCCCGGCTCCGTTGGAGACAAGTTCGCCTTCGGCAACACCGAAGAGCGCGCCCGCCTTGCAAACATGGGCTGCAAGCAACGCGGGTTCCGTGGTCAACGGGCGTTCGACCACACCACCGGCCAAGGCTACGTCAAGTCACAGCGTGGCCACTACCATGATGGGATCTTCACCAAACGCAACAAGTTCAACCTGCTTCTCCACGAGACATTCGGCGGCGGCTTCTCGCCGCCAGCAGTTGCAAAGATCAACCGCCTTGCGCGCAAGGCTCAACGCTCGGGCGTTGACCGCACCGCGTACCCTCCCCACTCCCGCCTCTCATTCGTGTCACACCACGCGGAACGCATCTCCATCGCTTCGGTGAAGGGGGTAAACCGTGCCATCCTCGATCGCCGTGCAAAGCTCGCTTCCGAGCTCTCACGCCGCGCGTAGGGCCCTTAGGGGCCTAGAGAACACAACCCCCTCTCTCTTTTCTCCCAGTAAGCTATAAGTACGTACGTACACAGTATCTCACACACAAAGACTTGATTTTTTACGCCGTCTAACAATCGTGTTCAAGCGGCCCTCCTGTGAGCTGGTACACCAAGAATGACTACCACTGCCAGGGGCCACACTGTGGCAAGCTGTGATGAGCGTGGTTTGGCTTGCGCAGCCCATACGGACGTGGTATATAACATATATGCGGCCACGTGCGTGTCGGCCGGTTCGGGCGGCCTAACAATCGTTGCTGTAGTGGCGCCAATGGCCGCCTCCCGTCGCGCCATTGGCACCCTAGCCAGCAGTAGCACCGGAGGCAACACCACCAAGCCCACAAGTCACAAGAGTGACGGAGATGCTTGCCACGAGCACCGTGACGCCCGACCCTGTGAGCACCGTGGGCGTATACGGCTGCATACGGTGAGATGATGCACAGCATGGCCAGACAAGGGATGCAAGGCTCGCCAGCTGTGTGTTAGTGAGGTATATGGATGTGATCAACATGTGTGCGTCACAGGTACGCGCAGCAGCGCATGTAGCCGCTGATATCGAAGACAGCGCAAACAGGTCTTTTTGCGCCACGCACCCGATGGCCGTGCAGGTCCAACTGCGTGCACAGGAATGCTATCAGCGCGTCTCCGCCATAACTGGACATGGCAATGAAGCAGCTGAGACGTGACAACATCGGTGCTGGGCCAAGGAGGTGCCGCTCACCGCCGATTGTTATGACTCGGTGGAGACGGCGGCCCGCATAGGGGTGCTGGCGACCTTCTACCTCCGGCACGCCTATGGACGGGACAGCCCGGGGCTGCATGAAGAGGACGGGGTGCTCTCCGCGAATGGGGGGATGCTGTGTGCGGGGTGCGGAGAGGAGGCGCCCGGGCTCGGGGCGCGGGACGGGGAGGGGGATGGCGGAGAGGGGGGGGCGTGGGCGAGGAGGGGGAGGGGGGCGGTGGGGAGCGGGGGAGGAAGAGGGGGAGGGATCCGACTGAGGAGGAGGCGGTGGGGGTGGAGGGTGGGGAGGAGGGGGGCGTGGTTGGGGAGATGGGGATCGGGGGGGGGGGGGGGCGGCCCGCGGTGCCTCCCCGGGGGGGAAGAAGCGGGGTGTGCACAGCAAAGGGGGGGGGCGATTCAAAACGCTGAAGGGAAGGGAGGGCTGGCAATGCACACGTGTCGTACGTCCACAAGTTGCTATGAAAATTCTACCGCCCGGCCAAGACCCCCCCCCCCTTTCCTCTCTGCCTCCTCCTCCACACAACGGAAGCACACACAGCACCACACGACCCCCGATGCTCTGATACAGGTGAAAGGCGGCGCTGTCTCTCAAGATGGAAGCAGGAAGCTTCCATCCCGGTGGTGGTTCGAATCCACATGAGCCGAAGGTGAGGGGGAAGGTTTGCCTGAGATCTGAAGCTCACCCATTGAGGAAGTGAGGAACTGCTCGGCTCACCCCGATCATGCCGAACAAGCTCCTCTTGTAGCTCGATCGGTCACACCGCCATCGCCGTCGGGGAGAGGGGGGACGACACTGCTTCGGCAAGCGTGCACCCCGATCCTGTACCGTGTTTGTTATGACCCCCCCCAATGAACACATCAGTGAGGGAGGGCGAGACGATCGAGGGGTCCCGTACCATGCGGAATCGACCCTATCCAGTGCTCAAGTGCTCAAACAGGATTCCGCGGCACGCCGCCGTTTCTAAGCCTTTCCACAGCCCTCATCCACCCCACGCCGTGGTTTCGTAGCTCCGGCCGGCACTCAAGCCAGAGCCGGCCCGAATGATTTTAGGCTCAAGGTAAGATGCGGTCCGCGAGGCCGAGGCGCGAGGGCGGTGCCAGAGTCTGCCGCCGAGTCGGCTCTCTGGATGACGGGAAGACGCACACACGCCTCCATCCACTCCACTCAGTTCAGACTCAGAACACCGCAGACTACTTGGAAAGAAAGTGACAAGTGCGCGCGCCCAGGCGAAGAGAAAGTTTGAGCTGGGGCTCCCGTTCACACTCGTGTCTGGCCTTTTCTCGGGGCCGCGCCTGCGCCTCGCCGTGGTTTCTTAGGTTTTTGCGGAAATCGATTGGTGTGGTTTCTTTCCACGTTTTCTGAATGCGTGCGAGGGAAAAATTCTGAATCAAACCAAATAAAATTCTTTACATGAGTGCGCGCGCCAGTCCCGTGCCCGTGCCTAGTGGAAGTGCTAAAATTCTTTAAAGCAGGGCTGGCCATTTAGATTCGCTCGAGTTGCCGGGATGGCGGCAAGTGCGAGCGACCAGTCTGCCGCCGCGATCTGCGATGCGGACGGCGTCTGCTGCATCGTGCCGCAGGCCACAGATTTGGAGCAGCCGTCGAAGCCAGCGGGAGCAATCTTGCCGTTGCTTTTCGGCGACGATTATTCGACGACGATCCTCAAGGACGACGCTGGGGTCCAGCAAAGCGCCGGAGCGCTCGGTGGCAAGATCGTTGGCCTGTACTTCTCCGCAAGCTGGTGCCCCCCATGCTGCAAGTTCTCGCCGGAGCTTTCCAAGCTTCGCGCGGCGCACAGCGCCGATTTTGCCGTGGTCTTTGTCAGCTGCGACCGAAGCGAGGCCGAGATGAAGAGCTTTATCGCAAAAGGGTTCTTGCATATCCCGTTCCATAGCGCGGCGCGGCGAGCAATCCAGGAAAAGCTGGGCGTCAGCATGCTGCCAACACTCGTCATCGTCGACGCCACGAGCGGCAAAGTGCTCACCGACTGGGGCCGAGCGGCTGTGACGAGAAATCCGAAAGGCTGCGTGAAGTCTTGGAAGGCAGGCGGGAATGGCTGCTCCTGGGTGCAGCTTTTGACGGGTGGTGGCTGCTCCGTGCAGTAGGCGGAGACAGCACCAAAAACTGGGATCATCGGAGGATTTCACTGAGCATCGGATTTCACTGAGCCGCCGTAGCTAAACCCGATCCCTCGCCGTGCACACGCCACAAGGACCTCTTGCGCGAGCGGGGCGCAGAGGTGGCCACACCTGGGACCTGGGGGTGCGGCTTGGAAGTGTGGCGTGTGTGGATTTACAGTATTCGATTACCGATGTAGCGAACCGCGCAGAGTTTCTATCGTTAGTCTATCCGCCACTCCGCCTGTCGCTGTCCGCCACTGACAGTGGCGCACTGTGGGGTTCGCGTGTCGGTGTCTGCGAGCACTTCACACCCTCCACCCCCCATGAGGACCGTCCCCCTCCCACGCATGCGGCTCGCGGCGCCGTACATCACGCGGGCACCCTCCCGAGCACGACGTCGTCCTCTGCAAAGTCGAGCTCCTTGTCGAGCCCGCCCTTGGCCACGTACTGCTCGCTGTAATACCTACGCGCGGCGCATCTCGGACAAGTCCTGCGCGTGACCTTTGGGGTGCCCCTGGCCGTGTTCCGGCCGAGCACCACGAGATGTCGTCGGCGATGCTATGCGCGGGCGAGAAGCCGAGCAGCCGGCTCGCCTTGTAAGGTCAGGTACGGTCAGGTAAGCTTCTCCACACACACAAGGTGGTGGGGCAAGGGCCAAGCAGCCCTCGTGACTCCACGTCTAGACGACAGGAACCCCGCGGCATTAAAAGTGCAAGGCCCAGTGCGCGTTGGTGAGCCTTGTCCGCCGAGACGTAGAAGGGTGTGTCGCGGAACGGAAACTTGTACTTGAACCCGTCGGGCTTGTCGAAGCCCGCGGGGTCGTAGTGTGCGATCTCACATTCCTTGCCCGCCGCGCCCGCGCAGAGCCGGACGAGGTCGTCGTACCTACTCACTCGCGGCTCGGCCTGTGAAGAGACGCCGTCCTCGCTGTGAAGAGCCGGACGAGCGAGTCGCACGTCACGAGGGAGGGCGTCGCGCAGTTGAACGCCTCGCCGACGGCCGCCTTGGCGTGGAGCAGCAGCGGAGACGGTCGTGACAACCTCGGGACAACCTCGGGACAGCCTCGGGCAGCCTCGGGCAGCCTCGGGCAGCCTCGGCCAACCTCGGCCCATTTCGGCCAATCTCGGCCAATCCCAATCTCGGCCAATCTCGGCCAATCTCGGCCAATCTCGCCGACGGCCACCACCTCGTTCCCGACGGCGGCAGCGATCATGGCGGCGTTGTCGGCGGCGTGCGTCATGGTCACAAGCTGGTCGCCGCCATTCGGCACCGGCACCTGCACGGACGTATCTCGAGTCGAAGCACGGCCTCGGCCAGACCTCGGCTAGATCTCGAGCACCGGCCGTCCGCGGGTGATCCGGTCAAAGAAGAAGGCCAGGTAGCTCTTGCCCTGCGCGGGGCCGTAGATATACTGCGGCCTGTTCACACGCTGAGCTGTGAAGAGACGCTGTTCACAGCTTGCTGCGCGCCTCCCTGAGGTTGCGGCCGGAAGTAGGAGAAGGGGAGGCCCATCTCTGCGATCTTCTCCTCGGCCTGCCGCTGGCCCGAGCTCTTGACCGCGCACTCCTCGCCCACCGCCCCATAGTCGCCTATTCACGCCGTGAGCCGTGAAGCCGCACACGCCGTGGCCCACACCCTCCGGCTTGCGCGTGGAGATGTGCCCTTGTCGGGCGTGTACATGCCCGCAGACGACACGTAGGCGTAGTTGCTCACACCCCAGGCCTTGGCCGCTGTTGCGTACGGGGCGATCGCCTCGGGCGACTTGGACCAATTGTCGACCACCGCGCTGAACGACGCGCCTTCCAGCTTGGCGAGGCACGCTGCCGCCTCAGAGAGATCGCCGCCCCATATCACCTTGACGTCCGACGGCAGCTCTCCGTAGGCACGGTGCGCCTCCTTTGGGTTCGGGCCGTCGCCCTCGTGGAGAATTGTGACGGCATCGCCGCGAGAGACGAGGTGCTGAGCGAGGTGGAACCCGATCTCGCCGTGGCCGCCGCCCTTGTTTTGGATGACCAGCACGTCCGCCATGGTGACGGGAGCGACGCGCAGAGCGCCACGCGGCGTCGCCACAACGTGGAAGGAGTTCACGAAGCCAGGGAAGAGAAGCATATCGCGGTTGGGAGCTGCCTGCCTGGCCTGGACCTGGCGAGGTACTCCCACGCCTCTCGGGGTTTTAGTCTGGCTCGCGCTGTTTTCACAGGATCACAGCCTTGTTATTGAGAAGAAAATACGAGCGGTGGAGGCCCTGGGGATGGGGTGAGACTACCCGCGGGCCTAGAAGGCCCGCGCGCAGGGGGGTGGCGGGGTGGGACATTGACAGTCAGCAGGCTGGAAGTACCTCGCCAGGCCTGGACCAAAATCGATTCCGGGGGAGAGTGAGAAAGGAATCCTGCGCAAAAAAGAATTTTACAGGGCGTGCAAAAAAGAATTTTCTTGAGCTAGCCCACAAGCCGCAACCCGGCGCGGCGCGCAAAAGCGTCGATGGCGAGGCGCAGCGACGTCGCATTGGTCGCCTCGCCAAAGGTGACCTGTTCAACGATGCTTCGAAAATCCGTCCCGAGTTTCGACTCGGGGTGCGCAATCGTGGGTGCGGTGCCTCAGTGCGCGGCATGGAGCCGAGCGCGCGCCGCACGAGCGAGAACCAGGCGGCATGCGCCGCGGCGAATCCGGCGGAAGGGACTGCGGAGCATTTCGAGTGGAAGTCGCGGTAGGCTCGCACGGAGCCGAACCCCCTCGCTGTTCGCACCGATGGGCTGAAGCTGTAGTCGTCAGTGAGCAGCGAATAGTTGAGCGAGCACTCCTGTTATCGCACATCGGTGTGAAGAGACTCTGCTCACGCCGGGAGTCCTTGCGGAGGAGTCGCGCGAGCGCTCCTCCTCGGCCATCTCGCGCTCGAGGACGACCGTCGAGACGCGACGGTGGCGAAACAGGGTGCTCAGCCCGGCCAGCTTCGCCTGGGGCGGCCCGCGCACCTGGGGGCGCGTGTGGGCCTGTGAAGAGGTGGGGCGTCGGCGAAGTGCCTTGGGGGTAGCTGGGGGCGTCTGCGCACGTGATTGTCGAAGAGCTTGAGGATTAGCACGCACGGGTCAGCGGGCCGACAACCAGGCCTCTTCCGCCGCACTCGGCAGACGCTGCCGCCGAGCCGCTCCAGCAATGGGATCCACTCCTACAGCCGAGGTGTAGCCGAGGTGTAGCCGAATTATGGTCGAGATCTAGCCGATATGTGGCCAATGCGCTCCTGCCGGTGGAGCGCCCGGGTCAAAACCTCGATGGTCAGGCTTGGGTCCGGCGCGCCTGTGGGACGTGTCGCGGACGATGATTGGCTTGTCGGACGAAGAGGAACCGACGGCGAGAGGCAAAGCCGAGGTTGAAGCTCTGGCAGCGGGTAAGGTTGGGGTCGGCCTTGCAGCGGCTGCCGCTGCCGTGGATGCGCGGCCAGTCGAACGCCTGCTGCAGCTCGCCGGCAGAGGCGGCGCAGCGCAGCCTGGCCTCTAGTTGGAGGGAGAGGGACGTGGAAGAGGAGCGCCTGCAGCATGAGGCAAGATGGTTTGCATCTCTTGCGTCCTACGGCAAGCGGAATAGGAACGACCTGCGCGACGCGATGATGATGACTCGCGTCCCTCGCAACGCGCTGTCATCTTCGGGCCTGCCAGGCTGCGCCGCGCGCGAGGGCCCTGTCGCCAACGCGCTCGTCATGTTCGGCTCGTCATGTTCGGCTCTCAGCAACCGTGCGTCCCCAAACATCAAACGGAGGGGAGGAAACAAAAACAAGAATTTTAAAATTGCTCTGGACTCTGGCCTTTTCTGGGTCACGTAGCCACACCTCCACCAGGCCTCTCAGTCAGTTCACGCCGGAATCGTGTCTACCCTTATAAGTCTCTCGTGTCGGCGCCGACGCTCTTTTAACGTAGAACGTCCCAGCTGAACACGAGAACACCGCCCGCCGACGATCGATCAGTCCACAATCGTCGGCCCGCAGCGACCCGCAGCGATGGATGCCGCCGCCCCCCCGGCCCCTACGGCCGACGCGCCGATGCACGACCGGCCTCCGTCGGACGGCTCTCCAGCCTCTCCGGCCGCTGCCGCCCGCGCTGCTGCCGATCCAGTCCCTCTCACGCTCAGCGATACCCGCACAACCTACGACAACTTTGAGGTCGCCGGCTTTGGCCAGGTGCAGCCACCACCTGCTTGCCTCCATGTTCACGCTTCGCGCCCCTCCCCCCCCGCTGACGCCGCCGCATGACCTTAGGTGAGGGGCACGACTACCCGCCTGGAAGGCGCTCTCATCAGCAAGTCACCCAGGCACCAACTCCTGGGCGTTTACGCTTGACTGCGAAACCATGCAGTGGATGCAGCTCGATCAAAACGGCGACGCCAACAGCTGGCCCCTGGGCGAGTTCCTTGCGCTCAGGATGAGGTGCGAGCCATGATGCTCGACTATCAGCGTGCACCAAGTCGCTCACATTCCGTGAGTTCGTCAACGGGCCGAACTCTCCAAGTCGACGGCGATCTCGAACTCCGACAACTGGACCGGTGCACCAGCCGCGGAGGACGATGGCTCCCTCGACGACATCCCTTCATCGACGGACGCCTTCACCGCCGCCGGCCCTGGGCCATCCAGCGCGGCCTCCGACGGCCTGCACGTGATCGAGGTACAGAAACGGTGGCTGCCGCAGCTCACACCCTAATCTATCTGCCTTAGGCACGGAGCCAACGGAGCCATCGCGCATGCCCGCATCGCGTGCGGCTCCGAGGTCTCCCGCCAAGACCGGCTCGGCGCGGCGCGTGGCCGCACGCCGCCGTTGAAAAGGCGATAGGAGAGGGGAGAGCGCCGGCCACATCGAGCGAGCGCTGACGTGTAAGGTGTCTGCGCTGCTCCGGTGTGTGTGGGATTATGCCTCCCCCCATCTGTGCGGCGAGGTGTTTGCGGTGGGTGCGAAGGCCGATCGTGCGCGATAGCCTCCCATTGTGCGTGGTGTGTCGGTGTCGGTCGTCCGGAGCGTGTGGCGGCGCCGTTGCATGCAGCGACTCTGCTCACGTGCCACGACTGCTTTGACTGACTTATGAGTGCTGATGGATGATCTCCGACAACCCAAAACCAAAATGAAAATGCGGAGTGGCCCCACTTTGGCGTGCAGATCCTGCGTCTCTCACTGCCCGAACAACAGAGGCAGGTCCCCCACTAGTTCGAAAGTAAAATCCGTAACTCATCGGCGTCGGAGGAGCGCGCGACCTCATCCGGCGCGCCGGGCTCGGTGAAGTACTTGCGCCACCCGCCGTCCTGATAGAGCTCGGCGCGGAACCGTTTCCAGCACTTGAATGAAGACCCTCTTGAGAACTCGTCGCGCAGCGCGGCGTCGCGCACCTCAGGTGGCGGTGCGGTTTGAGCCGGAAAAGTAGATGCCCACAAGTGCGAGCGTCAGGCTGGGCGGCAACTGTATGCTAGGGCTGAGGGGCGACAGACGGCCGGCGGGCAGAGGCACAGGTAGCCCATCATCTCGTCGAACTCCCCTCGAGGAACTCCCGCCTTCGAATTTCTGGGTCTCGGTTCACGGGTGGTTCGCGAACTGTGGTTCGCGAAATGTGTCGGTGTGTAAGAGGTGTGAAAGTAAGCTTGGTTCATGAACTAGTTCAGTGGTTCACCCTCGAACCCCGACCGTAAACTCTGAACCGTGAACTCGAACCGAGGCAGGACAAACAAAAGGGCGAACCGCGAAGCGTGAACGAACCAGGCGGGCGCGGCAGCGTCGGGCCGAACCGTGAACCGTGAACCGTTGCACCCGCCCCGAGTCCGTGAACCGCGACCGTGCACGAACCGTGAACCGCGAAGTAGTTCATGAACCGGGTTCACGGTTCACCTCGTGAACTGAGAGGTCTGACCTCCACGCCTTGGTGCGAGTCCGAGTGGCTGCCAGTTCGACTCTGGGGAGGATCGAACCATTAACATACGTTCAAAACACTCGGTGTCGAACACCTCTCCGACGCGCTCGACTAAAGTATGGTAGCTCCGGTGAGATCTCCCAGGTCGACGGCGGTCTGCGAAGATTTGAGTCCCTTCGTGTGTGACTGTGAGCTACGAAAAAGATCGAAAATAGTGCCTAAGGTAAGCCGGGGGAACTCGCGTCCCGGAACGCCTGCCCTACCTCGAAACACGGCGGTATCATCAGACATACAGCAGCACAGGCAGGAGGCTTGGCCTGTACAAGCTTTTCCGGCAAACAAAAAGGAAAACAGAGACTCCAAGTGCTCCAGAGGTTCCCCAGCAGCCAGCACTTGCGTTTCCGGAAATTTCGAGGGAAAACAGAGGGTGTTTTGGTGCTCCATTCTGGAAACTCGCGAGTTTCCCTGAGTCTGAGAGCTGGTCCCAATGGGGCAAAATCTGAGGCAAAATTGAGGAAATCGAATTTCCCGGGGTTTCTCCGCAAAATTCCCGGTATTTTGCCGATTTTGCTGATTTTGGCCCCAAAACAGCCTCAGGGGACTCGGCTCAGAGCCCCCAAAATTGACGATTTCCACGGAGTTTTCCCGGGAAAATAGAGAGGAAAAGAGAGGGTGCTGTAGAGAAAAAAGGAAAGGAAAAAGAGACGGGGTGCGAGAGGAAAAGCTTGTACAGCCTAAAGGGCATCCTATATTCTTCTCTCACTCCTCTGTCCGTGCCTTGGTCTTGTCGTTGTTTCGCACCCATGTCTGTATGGCAATCGAACCTGCCGTCCCCACTACCTGTAGTTCACTTAAGGGCGTGACGCCCTTAGTTCACTCGTCACCCCTCCGGCGAACTCCTCTTTTCTTTCGGGAAAGCGGCTCCCGTGGTGTACCTACCTGTGTGTTAGTGCCAGTGCGCGCCAGTCCCGTGCCCAGTGCTCGTGCGAGAGGAGTTGGTTCTAAAATTCTTTCTGTCTGTCCGGAAGGGAGTCTCTCTCTGCTGGTGTCTATCTGTCAGTGCGGGCAGCGTGCAGCTGCAGGCAATCGCGGGCGCTATTTTGTCGTACTCGTCTTCGGCGAGCGCTCCAAATCTAGACCCCATTGCCTTCAAGGAGGCTGCTCTCGCGCGTCTCAGGAATGTAGCCGTGTCTTTTGATTCAAACAACTCTCTCTTGATTCAGGGTGCCAGGGCGGTAAAATCATTTACCTCATCTTCAAGCCGCTGTCCCGCCCGCCCGCTGTGCTCTCACCCGGGATTCAGCAGGGCCTATTTGACATTTCAATGAGCAGCGATTCGTCTACGCCCGCGGCGACTCTCGTCCTCATTGCATCCACCGGTGTCGTCGCCTTCGCATTCGGCCGCTGGACCGCGCCAGCGACTCACGCGCCATCCATCCCAAGGGTGCCAAGGGCGGCAACGGAAGGAGGCGGGCATCGGCTCAACAGCCGATGCGTCAACCACTCTCACACTCCTTCTCTGGTCCACAACCTCTCCAAGCTCGAGCGGGTGTGTACCCTCTCAAGGCTGCCCGACACACTCCGGAGCCGCACCCACCTCTTTGCCATGGTAGCGCCCAACGATCTGCTCGGGCACTGGCTCGCGCACTACGCGGCGCTGGGCATCGACTTTCGGCAGCGGTCGCGCGTGATCCTGCACACGGGCGGAGTGGGCGCCGAGCAGGCCCGAGCCGCGAGGCAGCTCCTCAGTGAGTACGGCGTGCCGGCAGACCTCGCCGTGAACTGGTCGTCTGCGCTGAAGATGCGGGCGGCCGAGGCGTATCTGCGCTCGCTCCCTCCGTCCGGCTACCTGGTGTGGGCCGACTCGGACGAGTTCATGCGCTACCCGTGCGCTCTCGCCGAGGCCAGCCGCAGCGACAAGGTCGCGGTGTTAAGCTCGATGGTCGAGCGCGTCTCGCTGCCGTGGCGGCTGCGCCCGCCCACGCCCGGACAGCGGCTGAATGCGAGCTACCCGCGGCGCTGCCTCGTAACCGCGTGCCTCATCTCGGAGGCGGGCGTGGGCGTTGCGACCAAGAAGCCCGCGCTGATACCGGCCACGAGCCAGACGCGACTGGCGAGAGCGCCTTCCCCTCACTCTGTGACCAACAGCGAGCAATCCGTGTCTAGGTGACGGACCGGCTGGGAAGGCGGATGCGCCCCACAAGCTCACACCACCTCGCGTGCGTCGACGACGCGACGGGAGAGCTGAAGCACTGCAAGATGGACCTAAAGCTGAAGGCGGTCTTTGACCACTTCCGCTTCACCGGCAGCACGATGCGGCTCCTCTCGGAGAAGACGCGCCAAAAGTTCCACGCCGTTCGCAAGTACGAGGCCGAGGCCCTGATGTTTGCTCGCGACCGCTCCGGCGGGTGGTCGTTCTCCAACGAGAGCATTCGCGCTCTGAGCAGGGTCTGCTGGACGTAAGAGGTTTTTTGTCTTTTCAGGGGGTCCTGCCGGCTCGGGCTGAGGTCAGGGTGACCCACTGCCGGGTGGAAATGTCGGAATAGCCTTCCCGTGGAAGCCAGAAAACGGCTCGCACACCATGTCAAAGCTCTCGCCAAGCTCCCTCGAATCTCAGTTTTTGCCTTGCGTGAAGAGCAACTTAAGAACTTTTGCACATCTAAAAAATAAAACAGACAAATAAATAAAAATGAAATAAATAAAACGGTCATACTCTGAGACGAGATGGGATTTAGGGACATGTGTCCCCGCCCTGCGATCTTCAATCCGTTCCCCTCACCCCTCGTTGAATCACAACCCGACACAGAAGAGCGGCAAGAGTTGGGGCTGCCGCTACGGCTGCGGCTACGAGAGGGGCCGGGGTCGCGGGAGAGCCGCTGCGCAGCGTGGACGCGCCTACACCGCTCTTGCTCCGCTCGCCACCTCTCGCAAAGGTCCAAAGCCATAGCCACCACCTCCTCCGGCAGTCCTTTGCCGTATCTTGCCGCCTCTCCACGTCTGGAAGAGCTCGTCGTCATAGCCGCATTGCATCACAGGACACAGCCTGCTGAACTGCGTCGTGGGTCGTGTAGGATCCCTGCCGCCATTTCCCGCGCCTTAGTAAAACAGATAGAGAGAGAGAGTACACAGTGATATTTTTGATTTTTATCCAGAGTGAATTTTGCCCAAATGGCAATCGGCCGACCCGGCCGCCTTGCGCGCTCCCGCTGTCCACACTCTGTCTCTACGTATTAGGCAGGTTCTACAAATGAAAAGAAGGGGTCGCTTTCTACTATACAGAACACATTGCCAGGCCAACCCTGCGCGTGTGCATCCTGGCGGGATGGTCACTTGATCAGAGGAGAGATACGGGGACGGCGGCGGGGAGAGACCTGGGGAGATAGCAGATACGGGGAGGTGTCGTGAAAAACTGGTCCAAGCTAGGGCTCGTGGTGGTGGTGGGGCTGGGGGGTGGGGCTGGGGGGGTTGGGGGGGGGCAGAGTCGAGAGTGCAGTCTGCACGCACACACACATATACGGGGTGTGGAGGGTGAGTTGACCAAGGGGTTGTGCGCCGGGCCCTCCTGCTCGGCTCCAGCCGGTAGACAAGTCTTGTCATCAACAGAGTACTCGAGTAGAAGGATCTGACCTCGGGGCCGATGTGACCAAGCGCTGGTAGCGTGGTTTTACCTCACACCCATGGTCTCACAGTGTGCCGGCAGTCGCCGAGCAGTGTCGCTCACACAAGCCGCAGCACAAGTGACTGAGGGCCAGTGAGGGCGAGCCCATCGCTGTCACAGCTGTGGCAGCCGCACAGTAGGCTGTGTCAACTGTGCAGAGTGTGTGAGCAGCCGCACTAACTATCACTAAAGTTCATTCACACGCACTAAATTTACGTAAACGCACAACCCCGGGCCCCGAAATCGCACAGTGATGACAGTGACATGCAACACGGGGTCCCAGGGAAGGCGAGCAAAAACCTTATCGCGCGCGCTAGACGCCGACTCGGAGGCCGCACCGGTCAGGCGCGGTTCACCAGAAAACGCACAGCTTGCACATGGCAGAAGCACACCTACCGCCCGTGACCAACCTACCTCCCATCCGCTACCCTCCCGACGCGTCCACGGTGCCATGGCTCGAGCAGGGCACGGAAGAGATGGCGGAGGACCGCCTCGTCGACGCCGCCGGGTGTGCAGTCATGATGCGATGGGAGACTCCGCTCATGGAGGCCCACGCGGACTTCGTGTGCGCCGAGTCACGTGGGAAGGTCCTGAACGTCGGCCATGGCATGGGCATCGTTGACGCCGCCATCTCCCGACACAGCCCGCGGCTGCACGTCATCTGTGAGGCTCACCCATCCGTTCAGCGGAGAGCGGCGATGTTTGCCACGCGCTGCAAGGGCGGCGGCGGCGTGGGCGGCGGCGGCGAGGGCGGCGGCGGCCGCGCTAGCAGCAGCGAGCAGAGGTGCGTTGTCGTGCGAGGGCGGTGGCAGTCCGCCGACGTGCAGGCGGAGCTCGAGTCGCTCGGTCCCTTCGACGGGGTGTTTTTCGACACGTACGAAGAGACGGTCGAGGACTTTCTCGCCCTGCTGCTGCGGCTGCTGCGACCGGGGGGGCGCTTCTCATTTTGCAACATGTACCAGCCGCACGACGCGGTGAGGCACGTGGCGTACAGTGCCTACCTGCAGGCGCGGCTCGCGCCGCTCGGCCTCAGCTGCTGCTTCGAGCGCCTCGAGCTTCGCGTCCCGCCCGAGACGTGGCGCGGGCTCCGACTCAACTACTGGCCGCACGCCAGCTACCTCCTCCCCCGCTGCCGCCGCTCCGACCCGGCGGCGACGCCGCCACGCCCGCTAAAGCGGCGCCGCTCTGCGGCGGCGGACGGCCCGCTGCCGCCGACCCTGGAGCCGCTCGACGGCTTGCTGTGGTCCGCAAAGCACTGGGCGTGCCGCAGTGCCACACGCGACTCGTGCGCCGGCCGAACGGGCGCCGCGCCGACGCTCGCCCTCGCTTGGGAGAGGTGTGAGGCGTTGTTTTGGGGCGATGGCTGAGGTCCGCCGTGGCCCCGTACACTTCGCCGTGCAACCACGTGTGCAAGGAAACTCCGCCCCCGCCCGTCACGACTGTCGACTCACGTAATAACTAACGTATCGTACTTTGAATTTTCTCTACCGTCCTCATTGCTCTTTGTGACGAGATCGATGGCGGTTTGTAATATGTAAAGCAGCTCTACCCGCGCCCCTCTTCGTCCCCGCCGTCCAGCAGCGAGCGTTGGCGGCCGCTAGCGCGGCCAGGGGGCAGCGCTCGCCGCCGCTCGGGCAAGCCGAGCCGGCGGCGGTGCTGCGCCCGCCCCGCCCGCGTGAGAGTCCATGCGGCCTTGGTGGCGGGCGAGACCGCCTCCTCCGGCCGGACGAAGCCGCCGCGCCGCGCCGAGTAGCTCAGCGCGGGCAAACGCGGCAGCGCGACGTGCGGCGTGAACTTGCGCGCGGCGATGGTCGCCGGCAGCGCCCGCTGCTCGTCGGACGGCGGCAGCCCCGCCTCCTCCATCATGCGCAGCACGGAGGCGGCACCCGGCTCGCCGGCGCGGTGTATCTTGTCGCAGAGCTGCAGCGCAAAGGCGTGCGCGCGGCCCGTGTGCGGCAGAGCGTACTCGCCGTGCAGAGACCCTAGGAGGGGCCCAGGAGGGGTCCAGGAGGCGTCCGGGCAGGCCACCTTCCCGGAGGAGCCCACACACTCGCCGCTGCA